TTAGCACATAGAAGAGCTACTATTTTTTGTTTGTTGATTTTGTAACTTGCAACTGAACTGAACTGGTTTATCAATTCTAACAGCTTTTTGGTGGAGTGCTTAGGTTTTTTTCATGTATAGCATTGCATCATCTGCAATCATGGAAATTCTAACTTCCTTTCCAATGTTGATGCCCTTGTTTTCTCCTTCATTATTGTGAGAGTAATATCAATTTTATTAATCATGACAAACAAAATTTTGGGCTGGCGCCATGGCTCACTTGGCTAATCCTCCACCTGCGGTGCTGGCACCCCAGGTTCTAGTCCCGGTTGGGGCACCAGGTACTAGTCCTGGTTGCTCCTTTTCCAGTCCAGCTCTCTGCTGTGGCCCGGGAGGGCAGCAGAGGATGGCCCAAGTGTTTGAGCCCTGCACCCACATGGGAGACTGGGAGGAAGCACCTGGCTCCTGGCTTCAGATCAGTGCAGTGCCGGCCGTAGTGGCCACTGGGGGGTGAACCAACGAAAGGAAGACCTTTCTCTCTGTCTCGGTCTCTGTCTCTCTCTCACTGTCTAACTCTGCCTGTCTAAAAACAAAAAGCAAATTTGGGGGCTGGCATTGTGAAGCAGTGGGTAAAAGCCACCCACTATGATGCTGGCATCCATTATGGTTGCTGGTTGGAGTCCTGGCTGCTCCATATCCAATTCAGCTCTCTGCTGATGTGCTGAAGGACAGGGAAGATGGCCCAACCATTTAGACTGCTGCATCCCTGTGGGAGATGTGGGTCGAGCTCCTGGCTCCTGGCTCCTGGCTTTGGCCTGCCTAGGTCTGGCTGTTTGGGGAGTGAACCAGCAAATGGAAGTGATCTCTCTCTCTTTCCCCCTCTCTCTTTCCTTCTCTATTTCTTTCTCTTTTTCTGCAACTCTGCCTTTCAAATGAATATTTTAAAAAACACAAAATTTTGGCTTTGTTTTTACTAAGATCTATTTTTAGTTAACTTTATACACACTATACTAAGTAAAAAGTTCAACAAATAGGTCCCCCCCCATTATCTGTTTTCTGCTCTACTTTCAATTTTTGTTCATGTACTTAGGTTTCTTTTGCTCTTTTTTTCTGTCTTCCTAGGGTTGATTGTTTTAGATTTTTTTTTTAGCTTTTTAAAAATATTTATTTTATTTACTTGAAATGCAGAGTTACAGAGAGGGGAGAGACATGGAGAGAGAGAGAGAGACAGAGAGAAACAGAGACAGAAAGATTTTCCATCCACTGGTTCATTCCTCAACTAGTTACAAGTCAGTGCAGTGCCAGGCCATAGCCAAAAGCCTGGAATTCCATCGGGTTTCCCACATGGGTGGTAGGGGCCAAGCCCTTGGGCCATCCTCTGCTGCCTTCCCAGGCACGTCAGCAGGGAGCTGGATCAGGCACTTTAGCAGGGAGCTGGCTACGGGGACTTGAACTGGCACTCACATGGGATGCAGGTATCTTAGGTGGTTGCTTAACTCACTGACCCACAATGCTGGCTCCTGTATTTTTTCTCTTAAAACTATAGATTTCCTTCTAAGTGCTATTTCATGCAACCCCAAAATTGATAGATAGTGTCTTCAATATTATTCACCTGAAGATAGTCTAATTTCCTTCATGACTTCTTCATTGACCATTGAATTATTTAGAAATGGTATTAATTATTACTGTGAAATATTCCCTTTTTAATAATATTCTTTGTCTTGAATTCTCCTTTATCAATATATGGTTACCATGTGCATGGGATCTTCTGTAATTTTATTTAAAATTGTATCTTTATGAATCAGAAAATATACAGTACACAAAAACAGAGAAGTCCTAAGCACTCCTTGCATGGCTGAGAACTGTGGCAGGCACTTGGAACAGCTGGTGGGCAGCAAATCCCTAGAGATGGCAAAGTCTCTTGGCATGGGCACTCTGCCTCCTCTGTAGAGCTCCCAAATTGTATCCTTGCCTACCAGTCAGCCTCTGGCTTTCCTGTCCACTGCTCCATTGCAACATGCTCAATAAATCTAATTCTACTCACTCTGACTGCTCTGGTGAATTCTTTAACCACCCACAAAGCCAGCATCAATCAGTAGCTTCCTGAGATTAGAACTAACCTCTGTTACTATTTGAGGCATGCTTCCTTCCGGCTTTTCTTCTTTAACACTGGTATACTTATCTCTATTTGTGCTGCCTCCAGGACAGGGGTGATGAATTGGTGAAACAGAGATGATGAGGCTTCCTATCACCAAGCATTCTGCGAGCTGGAGAGGGGTGTGGGGGTGTACCGATCTGGCCCACAACAGTACAGCAAAGGAAAAGAAGCACAGCCCAGAGATGGGAGAAACAGATGAGCAGTGGGCAACTTCCGCAAATGCATTGAGTTTGGAGACAAGATCTTATTCAGTCTCAGGACTCTTTTGTAGAGCTTGGAAAAAATAAAGCAAATAAATTCAGGTGACAGAATCATTGTGTTACAAAGAGGGAGGGGTGCTTTTGAATGGCACCTAAGTCTTAGTAGAGAAAGAGATGGTTAAGTGTTCTGAGTGCATTCAGATGGAGAAGTCAGATTCTTGGCTTCATCACACGAGGTATGAGGGTTCTGTGTGTGCACTTCCTGTTCTTTCCAGTGTTGGCATACGCTGCTTCTGTTCAGGAATTCCCAGTAAATACATTCAAGTGAGCTGGGAGATTAAGTCAGATTTGGGACTTTGAACTCAGTTGCCTCTTTTTAGCTCTGCAGTTTATAAAGTCTTGAGACCTGTAGGTGCTGTGTCAAACACCTACACAGGATTCTATTTGCTGTTTTAATGACTTGGGTTGGATTTGTGCTTTCTGCTGTTAATATATAGCTCTTTAGATACTGAGAGTTGGTGAAATGAAGTACCAAAAGAAGACAGGCGAATGAGTGATCTTTGTCAATGAATGCGATAGCAGCCCAATCTAAGAGGAAATAAGATTGACAAAGATGGTTTTCCAGATGTGTACAAAGTAGAGTCAGTGTAAGGAAGTGAGTGTTTCGTGGCTTGGATATCAGAAGGCTTCAGAGGTGGAGAACTTGGGCTGGCTTTTCTTCTCTGTTGTGAACCAGCTGAGTGATCTTTGGTAATGCCTGGATTTCTGTGAGGCCTAATGCTTTCTCAGGCATGAGAATGATTGTCAACTGCATGTCATAGGCTCTGGGTTTTTAACTAAATTTGTGTAGTGTAACTAGGGTTGACTGAGAAATGCCTATGTGTGGGCCCCATTGTGCTTGTAGCTGATGTTAGAACATGAGACCAAACTTCTCGTGTTCCAGATGACTGCAGAGTCTAATGGAGAAGCTCACTGTTGATGATTTACTAATACTCAGGACTTAGAAGGACAGTCTGCCACTTCAGCAAATAGCAAAGGAATGCACATTATTTAGAAGAAAGCATTAGAGAGAAACGCAAAGAAGAAGGGGGGACGTGGGAATCTAGAATCTACCGCTGTGAAATCCTGTAGCTATGAGGTGGGCAGCACTGCATTAATCCCACTGTGAATGTACACATTACAAGTCGGGTGGAGACCGTAAATAAGCCCAACTTATTACGCAAGAATGGACACTTTTGCATATTTTAAAATAGAGTTTTAATTTAATTTTATCTGAATCTAAATTTTAAAAGTAAAACTAAAATAATAGCAAAGGAATTGATGAACTTTAATTTTTTTTAATTGCAAATTATGTGGAACTTCAAAAATTCTCTCCATGATTAAGACAGTATAAGGTCAGAATTAGAGTAACTTTTTTCAAATTTAATCACTAACAGTTCTTGTTATTATGAAACTTGATGAATAAATACTTGCTCTACTTTTTATACCTTCTCTCCCCTACTTAAATCTCCTATTTTATTATCACTTGCTAATGTGACTTTCATTTCGTCTTAGTTCTACATTGAATCGTCACTGAACTCTACCCTGATAATCACTTAAATTGAATGTTATGTTGATGCTCATTGCCAGGCCTTTTTTTTTTTCCTTGACAGGTAGGGTTATAGACCGTTAGAGAGAAAGACAGACACAAAGGTCTTCCTTCCCTTGGTTCACCCCCTAATGGTCACCACGGCCGGCGCTGCGCCAATCCGAAGCCAGGAGACAGGTGCTTCTTCCTGGTCTCCCATGCAGGTGCGGGGGCCCAGGCACCTGGGCCATCCTCCACTGCCAGGCCTTTTATAATCTTAAATTTCTTTATCTCTTGGCTACATGGATCACACACACACACACACACACACATTCAAGTGAATCAGAGAGCTATGTAGAAACCAGAGAGCAACCCAGGCAGCCAGAATGCAAATGAGCAAGATCCTTATGAGAATGAGGCAGAAACAGGAGACCTGTGTTCACCGTTTTAAAGGGTGAGATGCTAAGGTGGAGGAGACTTGGCAAGGGAAGAGAACTGGGGAATGTAACCTGACAAGGAGGAGCGCCCTCGTCAGCTCTCAAGATACTCAGTTAAGACCCTGGGAAGTCACATCCTATAGATCAAGGTGAATCAGAGACCCAAACCTTTCCAAGACTGTAAGGTTAGTGCAGTGGCTGGAGAGAGTAAAATAAAGGACCTAATTTTACCTTCTTACCAGAGGCTAGGATGTGAAAGAAGACATTTTTCAGAGTTTCTATTACTTTTCACTTATATTTCTTCTATTTTTCAGATGTGATATTAATCCTTTAATAAAATATTACCATGTGACAAAAAGCAGGAATACAAATGGTAAAAATAAGCTCTTAGAGGGCCTGAAATTGGAAGTATCAGGTGCAAACAATATCATAATTGTTATCAATATGTTGAGAAAAATATATGGCAGGATGAAGAATTTCATCAGAGAACAGGAATCTATTTTTCAGAAGAATCAAATGGAAATTCTAACACCAAAATTGTGTCAAAGAAAGAACCCAGTCATGACTTCTGTTAGAGTTTGAGATCTGGATCAATCTTCTCCTGTCTTTAATGAAAACACCTTTTGTTCCTCTTTAATCTATTTCCTGTCTCTTTTCAGAGTCGTCATCTCTGTTATTCCCTCTGGAAAGGAATATAAAAATGTTCTTCCGTGTATTGCAAAGAGTCATAATTCAGCGCCCGGAACATCAGCCTTGTCAACCTCCAACCGCTCACAGAAGGAAAATTAAGAGTTTCACGTGATGCGATTGAACATATGGTTGAGAGATACTTTCTTTAAAAATCGTCCTTAACATTCTCGAAGTCGGTGTGAACATTTGGAAGTCACTGCTTCTCCAAAAAAGGCCATCATTCATTTTTGCAGTTTCACGTTTTATTACTTTTTAAGCCCAATTTTGACTGGAAACATTACCAAGGTGGCAGTACCACATTTAGGAGATCTGCCAACAAGATGGGAACTGCGAGTTTTAAGCTTGTTGAGAACCACGTACACCACCTTCTGGTGTGAATACGTGTGTTTTTCCACGTAGGCTAAAATAAAATAGGGAATTTCTGTGTCATTCCTGACTGTTGGTTATGTAATTATCCATAGTCACCATCCAAAGCGGCCTTGGATTGCTTATTTGGGATTCATTCATTCAGGCATTTGCTAAGTATGTATTACAATATTGTCCTTGGTTTTGAGAACTTTGACATGGAATGGTAGAGGCAGACATTTTTTTAGTTTGACAAAGTAAGACAAAGGTGGTGAGTATGAGTCTGGACCGGAAACCCTCCCAGTTTTAGGGCTGAGTGGATTTGGAAAGGGGGCCTTCGAAAAGTGCTCTCAAGGAGTGTGGGGGGTTAACAGGAGGCCCCCCGATTAGAAACAGCATATACAAGGACACAGTGGTGGCTTGATGGGGTTGGGGGTGTGTCAGTGTTCGTAAGGAGTGCTGGGAAGTGACCAGGGTGTCCCAGTGTCCTGCATGAGAATGTGCCCCCAGCTCAGCCTGCATTCTGACTTCATGGAGATGGGACCCCTTCCATGGGCTCGCTGTGCTGCACCCTGTCAGCACCCCTTCCCTCCTCTTTTCCCAGCATCTGTGCCTGGAGCTCGCTATTCCCTGAGACGCTCATCTCAGGGGTGATGGGGACTGGAGGCCCCACAGCACTGAGTCGGGCACGCCTGGCACTTGGGAAGACACAATGAAACCCTGTGGGAGGAAAGCCAGTCTTCCCATGTGCAGAATGGAGATTGTCCAGCCCCAGCATGCGTGCAGAACCCCTGAGGGACTTAACAAGACACCATGTGCTCGCTGGGTGATGACTGGTTGCTAAGAAATGATGGAGTTCCATGCCACAGGTGTGGAGAGGCCTCAGCATTTGCATATGCCCCAAGTTTCTGTCCACGTGATGTCCTCGCTGCTGGTCCTGGAACCCCACTTTGAGAAACTCTACCCTAGTGAAAATGTATTGTCCTTACCTGGAAACAAACCATCATACAACCAAGAAAAAAAAAATAACAAATCCTCCTCTGATGATTTATCTAGGTTAGCATTCAGAGACTTGCTGATTCTGAAAATCTATTTATCATTACGGTTGTCTTTGATGAAGCTAGTTTGATTTGACAGCCTTTGGGTCTCCAAACTCATACAGATGTTAAAACCCCAAAGTCTTATGTTGATAGTCAATAGCTTAATGTTAACTGTTGATGAATTAATGGTAGGGTCCTGATCGAATTGTGGCCTCTTGCAGGTGGGACTAGTCACTGGGGCTTGACCTTGGAAGGTAGTTCTCCTGTGAGCGGTGGATATATAAGCCGAGTGAGTTTCCTGCATCTCTCTCTGCTTGCTGCCTGGCCTGCCTCTGCCTGTGCTCCACCATTCGCTGTCCTCATCAGACACTGCAGTAACTGTGCTGCCTGATACTGAACTTTGACCCTCCGAAACCGTAAGCCAAAGTAAGTCTGCTTCTTTCCTAAGTAGCTCCCATAGGGTACTGCAGTTGAAGTAACAGAAAGCCGAGTCAAAGGGCAAGATGTTAGGGAAGACAAGCCTTCAGCAATTTTGGTAGAGGAGATAAATATAGCTCAAACTACAGTGCTTTCAAGGTAAAAGTTTCTTAAAAGGCAATGGAAGTGCATGGTACTTGATTAAGAAAAAATCCCAAATATGCAAGATCTTCACAACGTTTATGGAAAATGAGTATTATGACAAAACTGTGTAGTGATTTCGCCTCTTTTTGCACCCAAGTACATTTCTGTTTCTGTGAGCTTTTTAAAGTGCCCTCCTAACCTGTAAAACTTGATCTGGTAGCGTGTTCTTCCTGCGATCCGTCTGTTGGTCATAAACATTACTATAGAAGCGGTAACTCGTATGACGGGATTGCCAGCTATCCTGCTCTGTTCCGACGTCTAACCTCCCTCCATGTCCTACTAAACAAATAGGCAGGCACTTACTTATTGGCTAGACCTGTGACTCTCAGCCCTGGCTGACCCTGGGAGCACCTGGGTTGGGATCTGGCCTCTGTGAGTCCGTGGTGGGGGCCAGGTGTCTCCATGCTTGTAACAGCCCTGCAGGTGATGCGGAGGCACATCAGCAGTTGGGAATCAGTGGTCTGTCACTGTAGAAGAAGTGACTTAGGCTTCCTGGGTGAAGATCCTATTATTTTTCTGTGAAGCTGAGAGTCTATGAGGGAATTTTATTTTTCACGTGTCACCATGAGCCGAGATTTCCCGAACTTAGGTAAGCAACACTTTGAAATAATTCTGTACACCTTTTATTGCCAGCTGGTGCAGGAATCATGTTTTTTCTTTCTAATGAGTTTCATTATCTATGCAGATTAGGAATAAATTTTTTAAATTACAACTCATCGTAATACTGAAACAAGAGCACGTTCCAGTGACATGACAAAAGTGACGGAAGTTCTCAGAAACTGCCTGGCAGCAAACCCGCTGCCGAAGTTCATGTGAACGCCTTGTTTGCTGTCATCCTGTTCATTACACTGAAGGGAGCTTTTGATGAAGAGTATGGCCCAACGTAGATCAAAGTGGAAATGACTCCTGACACTTGGATTCATTTTAAGAAAGAGGGGTTTGGTCATTCAGGGGCTTGACTGACCACGTGAGTGGACATAAATTAGGCAGTGAAACAGGTTCCTATTGAGAATCGGAGATGAGAAATCTCACCAACTACAATTTAACCCTTCATGATCTGATTTTCTGCTTATCCTGGATTCCATGGTTTGCCTTTTATACCCTCACTGTCACATTCCCAAATTTTTCTTCTGCTTATGTATTAATAGATGTGACCCAGGTGGAAGGAACGAGTTGGAATCTTCGAATGTCCTGGGGAACTGTTTCTAGTTACATGGACATAGTCTCCCTTCATGCCTTCTCTGTAGAAAATCCAGTGTCCAGTGCCAGTGGGATGAGAAAACGAAGCTGTCTCTCATCTTCATAGGGAAAAAAGCCGATTGTCTGTGCCTACTTTGCCTTTTTGGAAGTTGTGGTTTCCAGGAGGAAGTCCCAGGCAGTCCTTCCCGCGGGCAGTTCTTGTCTCTCCGTCACTCTGACTTCTGTACAAAGGAGGCTGTTTTGCTTTCTCCTCTCCCGTGGCCATACTTGCCACATTCAGAACTTGGCCAGTCCTTGCCACATTCAGAACTTGGCCAGTCGTGTGATGCTTCTGCTTGCCTTAGGGCTGGATGCATTCTGTTAGCATGGGCTTGCTGCATGGCTATGCAGACAGACCCTCTGGGCATTCAGTAGCACCTGTTAACTGCCTCACATTCATGGTCCCAGAGGTGCTCCAATGTCACAACTCTGCTCTAAAGCCAGCCCACATTGCCATGGGTTTATCTTTGGGCACGTGTCTGGAAAGTGTTGTGTTTTGGGCTAGTTCATGTTACTGTTCATGTCTCCATGGGCAGCGTTTGTCAGACAAGCAGTCGGTTATGTTAAACCCTTGGTTTGATGGCAGGATTTTCTCCCATGATACTGCGTGTGGTGGAGCTGGCCATTTGGATGCAAACATCTTGAATTCTTGAGAAACAGCGGCAATGATAACACCGTGGGTCAGTGATGCCAGCGGGCTGGGAAGGGCTTAGGAGAGCAGTTCAGTAAGTACCTGCCCCCCAGCTGGGTGCCGCTCGGTAGAAAGTGGGTGCATGTCACGTGGAGCACCTGGTGCTACACTGACAAATGTCACATTGTGTGGTATCTCTGAGGCCAGGCCTTCGAGCCGGTGAATTCCAGCGCCTGGTTTTCACTGAAAAGCAAAACCCTCTCGGTGAGTCTTCCTGGGGAGGACAGCCCTGTTCGCACAGTGCTTCCTGCGGGGAGCTTGGGTCGGGGGAGGGGTACGCTGCTCCTAACTTGGCACCTGGGCATCAGAGTAAACGCCAGAAACAGGAAGGCCACTGGCAGGCTCCTGCGTGCTTTGTCCCATGGAGCAGGTCGTCATATACTGTGGGGTCACTCTCTGAACTTCTTCCCTGTAGCAGGTGTCATGGGACTCTCCCGGGAGTGGCCCCTCGCTACACCCAGATGACGGAACACTGTTAACACTGAAGACACAGGGAGGCCAGGATGCATCTGAACAGGCTGGCCTTGCTGAGTTCCCCCTCGTAGACGACCTTGAGTTCCCATTGCTTTTATCAGCCATACTGCTCCAGGACTGTGCACTTTGTCCTTAAAGCTACAATAAAAGTACGCAGGTTTCTAAGTTTGGGCCCTCACTGAAAACTTGAATGTATTTGCCCGCTTCTCTCTTGCTAATCTGTCTTTTGTTAGGAGAACCCAGTTCAGGGGAAAAACAGAACTCTCCCACTCTGAGCCACAAAGCCCCTGGCATGCCCAGGTAATGGTTTGTCTGTGTACAGCTGCTTGCAGCAAGCCAGGTGGTGATACCTCTGATACCTGGAGGTCAGAACTTCCCCTCCAGGTGTGTTACAGGAGCCCTGACAGAAACAGCAGCTCAGTGCAACAAGGATGCGTCCTCGCATGTGGAGCTGGCTGAGGGGCCTCCGGGCACTTCTGACGATGTACACGCCGTTGAGCAGGGAGATTGTGCAAGAGACGTGGGGGAGTGCTGTGAAATGGGGCTGCGCAGCTCCCAGAGCAGTTCTGCAAGGCGGTGGGCAGGAACGGATGTGCGGCTCTAGCTCTATGGTCCTTGTGCCAGACACGAAACAAACCGGCACCAGTGAATGGCCCAAGAATGTTTGTCACTGAGACTATGGGCCATGGTGATGGCAGAGGGACACAGGGGGCTGCTGGGAGCACAAATAAAGTCCGGGCCAGAAAATTGCACCTGTGTGTATTTCAGAACTGGGTCTGATCTTAAAAACCTGCTCTTGCTCTTTGGAGAACATTGTAGTGCTGGAACACATTTGGGTCACGTTTTCTTGTGTTATTTGAGGCTGCTAAGGGCAACGCTTATAGTCTCTGTTACAATTCACTTGATGCATCAAAGGGAAGATTATGAAAAGGAACTTTGACTTAAATATTTATTATCTCGGGTGGCTCCAGAAAATCTGAAATCCCATGATTTTAGTGGAATGTACTTACAGTGGGAATGAAGAACTCTTTGTCCTAAATACCTGTATAGGCCACTGGATATGGAGAGTACATAAATGGAAAAATAACCTATGTTGCCAATGCAAAGTAAATCTTTTTAAAAAGTGATGGGATGAGAATCAAATCTGAGAGTTGGCCACACAAAGCCAAGACAGGGGTCGAACGACAAAGCTGAGGATTTCATTGGCATTCTGTGAT